GTATCTTTAGGCACAATTAAAAAAATCATCAATAATAATAATAATAATAGATAAAGTAAGAAAATATATAATGACACACCCTAGGTCTATTTTTCACGTTGACTTTTTGGGACTAGGGTGGAATAAACCTAAATTTATTCAAATCTAAATTGAATGACTCATTGAAGGAAATATTCCACCAAATTCATTTTAGCAGCTTGTACCCAACATGTTTTTTGCTTATCTGTCTTCATATTTATTTATTTATTCTCATGTATGCGATGGGCCCACAGATATAATTTTTTAAAAATTTAATTTTGAAATGAGAAATTGTCAAGAGACTGAGCAATTAATCAAGTTAACATTTTTTTGCCTGAACAGACAGAGGACAAGTAACATTAACAAGATAGACGAGTCTACTTAAAATGAAGATATTTTACGACGATTAAAACTGAATAACAGGTACATAATTACAGATGTGATCATTTTTGTGCTCAGTCTTTTGGCGCGCACACGAATATACGACAGCAAATGCGTATGTTCACACTTGGAACTGGAACCGGATGGTGACCGGCTTCACGCTAGCGAGTGACGTGCCGCCAACGCAGAATACCGTGTTGACCGTTGAATGCTGCAAGAGAGCTTTGCGCGTGATGTGAATGCGACCCACCTGTTGTTCACATTATTACCGTTTAATTATATGACTATATGTGCCAGTCAAACCATAGTGTTTCCTTAATTTATGTTTCTCTTTTGTCGCCACATTCACACTGCGCACAATTTTATGATAATAGATGCATATTTTTGTTTAATACTTATTTTATAAAATTAACAGATTTCTAAAATGTATGAAAAGATATAAAAAATTCTAATTGTATTTATATAATTTGGCCTTTAATTATTCTTTCTGTTCTGGTTGCTTCTTTTGTTTTTGTTTTCTATATTCGCAGTCAAAATACCTATTAATATTCTGATTTCTAGTTAGTCATTTTGCTTTTTATATTATTGATTGATTTGTGATGAAATTGAAATATCGTCCTCACTGCTCGTTTCTGAGCTAGTTTTAAGAATAAAAAAATCCTGCGGGGTGGAAAATACTGGTGCGGAATTCATATCATTTTAAAAATGATAGGCAGGTATAATGGGAGCAATGAATGTCATTTGATTTTATTAAACTCTATATTGGGCCAATGATAGGGGTTCAGAGGTCGAAGGGTCACTTTGAAAAAGTAAGACTAATAGAGGAGAATTTTCTTGTTCGATACATTTCAATCATAATCTACGCTATGATATTAATCTTGTTCGATACATAAAATGTAGTTTAATTTACTTATGACGTTTGGACTATGTATAATTTTTAATTTATTCTACGTTGCACGTTTATAAATCTCTTTAATTATAAATAAAAATGTTAAATATTTGTAAGGAATAACTATTAATTTTTTTATTTATACCTATTTTATTTTATCTTTTTGTAAGATCTTTTAAATTTTTTCATGGTCTTTGATATAAGACTTTATATAGTTTTAAAAATGTTTATCAATATTATATATATCCTTTATGAATGTTGAATTTTTAAACTTCTTGACTTTTAATGTAATGACAGAATATACTGTGAAAAAAATATGATAATATCTAATTTTAAATAAGAGTAAAATTTGAAATCCTGTTATTAATTTTTATTAATAAGTTATTAAAGTTATTTGATAATTATAAATATAATAAATTTATAGCTTTTGAAAAATAATTTTAAAAAGATAGTTTAATAAACTATTTATAAGTTATAAATAATTGTGAATTTTTAACTAACTTATGATTATAAACTATTATTTCTGATTTTTTTTATAAAAAATAAAATTAAATATTTTTTTAATTTTTATTATAAAAAATAAATGATAGATTCAAGATGTATTAATTATTAATTTTTTTATATTTTTTTATTAATATTATTAAATATATAAATTACTAACTACACTATTTAATATTATGAGTATTCTTAAAATAAAATTTATATTTATAAAAATATAATTGACTTAATTATTTTTCTTGGTCTTAATAATTTAGTTTTTTTATTTTTTTTTTAAAAAAGCTGGAGGTAGTATTATTTATAATCTTTCAATTAATTTTATAAATAATCTTAAAATGTGTTTGATAACATAATTTAAAGAGTTTATATCTTTTAAAAGTTGGTTTATATAAAGTTATTCTAAGTAATGTTAATTTGACTTTTAATATTTTTTTAATTATAGTAAGATGCCTTAAGTTTTTTTATATAACTTCTTTAGCTACTGTTGATTTATGTTTATCGCACCTAAATCTTTTCAAACTTTTTATTTTATTCTTAACTATAATTTAACCATTAGTAATGCAGTTGGAGAAAACTATTTTCAATAATATATAGAGCTGCTAATATAATTAGTTTTTTCATTTTACTAATATAAAAAGTTTAAGTATTATGGAACTACGATGAACTCAATAATTTTTTTTTACTATGTATTGAAATCACTATTCACTTATCAAAATTAGTTGATGCATAATATTTTTTTGGTACATTAGTAGTATGATCTCATTAGTGCACCTTAAACAAAGCAGAGAACTTTGTTCATGAGTTTAATTATAAAATCTATTAAAATGATTTGAAAATCTATATATAAAAAACTATGTTATAAATTTAGAATATAATTCATTCTATTTAAGTACACAACATTTTATTTTATATTATTAACTATTTAAAATATATTTATAATGCTATTAAATGAAAAAAAATTATGATATATTTAAAAATATTATTTGATACTAGTTAAGATATTAAACAAATTATTTAAGTGATATAAAAACAATCACTTATTAAGTTATAAATCAAAATAATCTCCTTTTTATTCCAGCTTTTTTTTTCTCCACCATTTTTTCATCTTTTCCTCCTCATCTCACTTCATCTCCTCTACTTCACCCCCACCCAACTTCTCTCTCCTTCTCCATCTCTTCTTCTTTCACTCACACCCAATTTTCTTTCCTCTTTCTCCCCTCTTCCCCTTCTCTACTTATTCAGCTTTTTCCCCCTCTCTCTTAGCTTCTTTCTCTTTTGCTTTTGTCCCTATATCCTTCTCACCCTTTGTTTCTCTTTTTTTCTTTTAGTTTTCTTGTTACTTTTTTTGGCTTAAGCAAAATTTTTTATTTTTGCTTAAATTATTTATTTTTTTTACTTAAGTAAAAAATATTTTTTTTATTAATTTCACTCAAGTAAATTTTTTGGCTTAAGCTAAAATCACATTTTGTCAAATTTACTTAAATAAATTTTATTTGAATCGATATATAGTTTGTTTACATGAGGTATCATTATACTCTTAAACATGAAGACATTAGATAAATTATAAAAATTTAAAATTTTGTAGTTATTTAATATATTTCAATTAATTATATATTTAATTTTATCAAATAACTCTAATGTAATGAACTATTCATAAGTTGTAAATTGTTAACTTTTTAGCTTGCAACCTTTCAATTAGTTTTTATTAAATAGAGTCTTTAATGTTATTTAATGAAAATTTTCGCATCTATTATTTTATTTTTACTTGATTAGTTATTTTTAATTTTTTTATGCAAATTAATAATTTCTTATTTATTTACATTACATCTCTTCAATTACAATTTTTTAAATAAAAATATCACTGCTCTTTACATTTTAGCATGAAAAATAACTTTATACCCAAAAAAAAAAACTTAACTTTTAAAAATAATAAATTATAAGCTTTATGTAAATTTGTGAATAATATAAAACCAAAAATAAAATAAATATAACTATGCATAATTGATTAATTGAAAATAAGATTAATACTAACAATAATTTTCTAATATATTATTTGTAATACAAAGTTTGCTTTTAGTTATAATTTATTAAAAATTATAAAAAGATAATGCGAGTTATACTTTTTCACTTTAAATTAATTTTTTTAATTTTGAATAAATTTTAGTTAATAATAAATAATGTATTGTTAATATCTTTTATCTATTTAAAAGATTAAAATTTAAATTTTTTAATATATTTTAATTAATTGTATAATTAATTTTATTAAATAGCTCTAATGTAATGAACTATTCGTAAGTTGTGAATTTTTAGCTTGTTAACTTGCAAATTTTTAATTAATTTTTATTAAAGAGAGTCTTCAACGTTATTTAATGAAATTTTTTGGATCCATTATTTTATTTTTTACCTAATTAATTATTTTGTCTTTATTTAAAGTATTTTAGTAAAAAATAATTAATGCAATAAATAACTTCGAAGGAATCTTATAGAAAACACGTAACAAACTTTCTATAAAAAAATTATATTTAAGAAAAAAATATTAGTTAAAGAATTAATAAAAAGATAACATAAATCTTTTTTTAATCATGATAAAATATACGAACTTAATTTTTTACATGTTAGCAATCGTACAAATACATTTTTTAAATATACGAACTTAATTTTTTTTATTAAAGAGAGTCTTCAATGTTATTTAATGAAATTTTTTGGATCCATTATTTTATTTTTTACCTAATTAATTATTTTGTCTTTATTTAAAGTATTTTAGTAAAAAATAATTAATGCAATAAATAACTTCGAAGGGAATCTTATAGAAAACACGTAACAAACTTTCTATAAAAAACCTATATTTAAGAAAAAAAATATTAGTTAAAGAATTAATAAAAAGATAACATCATGATAAAATATACGAACTTAATTTTTTACATGTTAGCAATCGTACAAATACATTTTTTAAATATTTTATACCAATTAATAAATTTTTATTTACTTACATCGTATCTCTTAAATTACACTTTTTTTGAATCAAAATATCGTTGCTGTTTACATTTTAGCCTGAAAAACGGCTTCACTCTTTTGTTAATTACGGGATGACCTAAGAACACGCGTGTCGAATGTATAGTAGGTGAGTTTCGTCAAAACATGTAAGCTCACCTTGCCAGCGAAGCAATGGCAGCTATAAAAGCAGGAAAAGAACCGCACGGCTACCAAACCAACCCTCCAAAACAAAACCGATCCAGAGACAGAAAAGGAAAAGGTAGTGAAATAAAATTGCCACACGATCATTCTTGTGGGAAAGGGAAACAGCAGAAAAACGATGGGTAGTGGGTTAAGGAACAGCATGTGTTTGGCATCGTTGATGTTGGCTACTGTGTTGATGATGGCGAGCTCTGCAGAGGCGCAATCTAGTGGAGGCGGTGTCCCCTCTTGCGCACAGCAGCTGATTCCGTGTCTGGACTACCTCAACAATTCAGCCCACCCACCCAATTCTTGCTGCGACCCACTCAAAAACGCAGTTGCAACACAACTCTCATGCCTCTGCAACCTTTTCAATACCCCTGGCTTGCTTCAAAATTTCAATATCAGTATCGATAACGCTCTCCAACTCAGTCGCAACTGCGGTGTCACCAGTGGTATCAGCAGCTGTCAAAAGAGTACAACACTTAGCACCCTTTCGATTCATTTTTTTATTATAAAATTTTGTTCTGCCTCATCAATTTTACAGTTAACTTTTCTGAGCCGGATTTTGTTTTGTAGTGTGTAACTCGATTCATGATCTTTGAAATTCTTACAAGTTTTATGGGTTTTAGACAAATTGAATCATTTTTCTAGATCTAGTGCGGGAAAAAGAAATTGCGCAAAGCACTTGTTTTGATGTTGTTCAATTCTCAATTCTATAATTTGTTTCATATTGATTGATGCGGGTCCTTCGCTGTGAATGCATTAATTGCAATTTTTTTCTTAACATTTATTAGTACTAATTTTGTTGTATTTTATTTTCCAAAAATTTCAGGCAGCACAGCTCCACCTCCTACTTCAGGGGGACCGCCAGGTAAGACCCTTTCAACATCCCCACATTTATTGTATCCATTGAGCTTCATTTAGTTGTGATGATAGACTTCCATGATTTTATAATTTTATTAATAAGTTTTACAAATAATTTTAGTTTTTTATAATAAATTTTACGGTTAAATATAAGAAAAACTGAAAAGGTAATTTAAATGATGAAATAAATACAAAAAATGTATTTGCAATAATTTATTTAAAAAAGTTAGCTTCATTGGCAGAAGATTAGTTTATCGATAATATACAAATAATTTATTAATTATAATTAAAGTTGATTGAAAATATTTAAATATTAAAAATAAGAAAGGTAAATTCGAAGTCAAATGTCATTTGATGATAGCCTAAAAAAAATCATTCCTCGAGACCTAATCATTTACACTGTGAGAATTGGAATTGGAAATGGCACCACCCTTCAAAATATTCAAATTAATCGGTCTAGATCAGGAGCCTGCAATTTATTTTAATGCCCGCCAATTTTGAATATTTTATGCAAATGACACGTATTCAGTATTCTCATTTTCCAGTTGTCTCTCCCCCGCTGACAGGGGACTGGGATTGATTTCGGTGATCATTATACGAGCAACAACAAGACTAATAAATAATATAATACAATAGTTGGCATATATTAGTTTATACCCCATCAAAATCAGTTCAATTAATTTAGTTGTAGGATTTAAAATATAAATGCACCAATATAATCTTTATATTATGCCTTGGCCTTTTCTTATTTTTTTAATGTTCTCTGTTTTATCTTTTATTATGAGGCTTATCATGAACCTTCCTTTTAAAAAATAAATAATAATAAAGCTATTAGGCGTTCTCAAGTCAATATGTGCTTGAGATTGCTTAAGAAGTACACATCTATAGAAAATAGTTGAAGTTCCCATTATCTTCAAATGACAATTTCTTCCCTCACGAACCTGCTGCAATTTTGGCCTTGCAGCAACACCTGGAGGTGACAAAGGAGGAGCAGGCAGAGTCTCATTCTCCGGGCTTTCTTTCCTCCTCTTATTTTGGGCATCTATGTTGTTTAATTAGGAAGGTGGTAGGTTACCCTTCGAAGCTTCTATTATATTATTGAAGTTATATGTGTTTTCATACATTGATTATTCAGTAATCTGATCGCATTTGCTTTTTTTTTTTTTTTTGTCCTTTGGAAACCTCTTATTCAATTGAGTAAAAAGTTTATGTATTGAGAGGACATTGTTCTTGTCAACATTTAGATAGAGTTATTCGTGGTGCTTTTGGTTGCAGCATTTATATGAAGTGATTTGTTGTTGTTATTATTATTATTTGAAAAACAAATCCATCAACGTTCGCAGACTACAAAAAGTAAACTTAATTATTTATCTACATGTAGCAGCGTGTTTTTTCCGCAAACATTCTTCACAAATAGCAATCATGCTTGAAATATGATCTGTTATATGTGAACATTTCTTCAGAAAGAATTTTAGCCGAAATTTAATATTTTATGGAGACCATCCTTTTCTACTAAACTCAACCCCATCGGCTCAAGGATCATGGTTTGATCCATACACATGGCTATTGAAAATAAGCATATTTAGTAAATGGATAAAACACTATAATCCGCACAGCAATCTTATTTGAGCACTCCAGGGAGTTTGATTTGAATATACGCTGAATGTACAGATGTTAAGGATATCTCAAATATCCTTTCTTTTTCAAGAGTTTATCAATATTACGATTTGGCCTAATCCTTAGGAAGTTTCGCTCTTCTTAAATTATACAAACAGTAAAGACAATACCTAGTGTAATTTATAATAAAATAAAATTATTAAATATTTTGAATTACTTCATATATATAATAATAATAATAATAATTTCATATTCAATTTACTGCTTTTTAAATTGAGTCAGAAATTGTACATTGATTCTACGAAGAATTCAGTATCACTAATAAAAAAGAATATAAGCTACTCCACTGCCTGCTTATCAGAACGAAATATCAATGCTAGATTTTCTTAAATAAAAAGTTCAAATTCTCTTAATCATTCCAAAAGCAAATCTTTATATTTAAGTGTGTTTAATTTAACTAATTTTAGATGAAAAAAATTAGATATAATTAAAAATAACATTTTTTTTTCAAAATAAAACATTTACAAATCTTATTTACTTGTTAAATATACAAGTGCAGTTATTACGGTATTTTAAATAATTTAACGTTATTAGCAAAAAATAATTTAACTTTAGTTTAAACTTCCAAGAAGAAAAAGTAATACTAAAATCATCATATATACCTTTAGCAAAATTATTATATTATTGTGTGGATATTTTATGATGATATAAATGACAATTTCATTTTATTATTTGAAAAAATAAAATGACTAATAAAAATAAAATAAATAAAATAAATACATTTAATACTCCTGAAATTGAGAGGAGAAAAATATTAGATGAATAAATTGAAATATTTTATCATTTTTTTAATTGAATCATGTTTCAAACTGTTTAAAAGTTTAATTCTCTCATATTATTCTATGTTGTTAGTAGAGACAAAGATACGGAATTAAAATAATTTGTCCCGAATGTAAAAATGTTTGGGATATTTTATTTTTTCTTTTCCTGAAAATTTCAGTATTAAGATTTAGCGTTATCAGGTGGAACCTTCCCTCTTCTTACATTGTACTACTGATAAGACAGTAATGGCAGAAATTCATTCTGAAATAAAAAATCTTCTGATTTACTTAAGCTGTAAAATATTTGTATTTTCAATATATATATATATATATATATATATATATATATATATATTCATTTAGAGATTTTTTATTTTTAAAATTGAGTAACATGAAATATTGTACATTGATTCTAGGAAGAATTTTAAATAATGTTTCACCTTTATTTTAGTTTATTATATAATTGGGTATATATTTTATGATAAAATAAAATTTTATTTCTACAAATTTAAAATTAATAGTTTATTATATCTCATGTTCTTTGAAATTTAGAGGAAAAAATAGATGAATAAGTTGAGATAAAACTGTTATGTTTCATTTAAATTTTATTCTATTTTAAACAATTAATTCTCTCATATTATTTTATGATATTACTACTTATAAAGATAAAAAAAAAATTCAAGAACAATAATTGGAAATGAAATAAGTTAAGGTATGCTTTATTAAAAACAAGTCTGCCTTATTTTTTAAAAAAAGTCGTTAATTAAACTTATGTTTTAACACACAATTTTTTTAAGGTATCACTTACTCTTTTAAACTGATAATAGATTAATAAAATTATCTTTAATAAATTAATAAATTTAATCCTTTAAATAAATCTCTATAAAAATTAAAATTAATTAATCTATTCAGAAATATATTTATTAGTTTTTAACGTATCAAAATCATCGGATTGCATGGTGACCCGACAACTACTGCTTATTTGGGGTTGCAACAGAGTGACATTGAAAAGTGATGCTCAGTCAATTGTTTCATCTCTTCAAAAAAGTTGCACCAATCTATCTATTGTTGGGACCATAACAGGTGATATTCTGGATCTTAAAAACAGCTTCAATTATATTTATTTTCATTGGTCCTTCTGGGAAGAATAGGAAACTCTTTAAATAATTTAAAGGGCTAAATGGACTACCCTCCACCTTTTTCCCCTTTTAACAAAGTGCAACTTTTCGACCAAGAAAAATAAAATAAAAATGCATCTTTCATTAAAAAAATAAAACCCATCAGATTGTAATTAAGCAATTTTTAAAATAACGGTGAGATTGATGTTTCAAAATTAGCCCAACAATATTTATGTCAAATATTAAAATTGAAACTTATATGATATAATAGAAAATCGTAATCTTTAACAAAAAGATATAATAATACTTTAAAAATAATAATTAAAATGCAGTATGTTTATTTAAAATATATACAAATTAAAAACAAAAAATAATTAATAACTTCAAAAAAACTAAATATATGTTTGCTCTTGTTATTATCAAAGTGAAATCTCGTGTAACTAGAAAAAATAAACTTCCTCTTTTACTTTTTGTTCTCTCTCTCTCTTTTTTTTAAAAAAATGCATGTGAAAGAGTTGTGCTTGTCTTAGTCGACTTCTTTATTATTTGGGAGTTGTTTTTTGCATTTTTTAAAAAACTAATTGCACTTCCTCTAATTTTTATATTTATTTTATTTCAAAATTGCCCTTCTGTTTCAAAGTGGGAATGAGAAAAATGAAAATATCCAATAAATCCTGAAAACAAATTTAAAGTGAAAGAGAGAGTTGGGAACATGGATCCTTTAGTGGCTATTAGTCATTTCTTTTGTATACTCTTTCTATTCTCTATTTTTTTCCCCTCATTGTAATATTCGTGATGAAGAATTGATGATTGATTATTTTGTTTGTTTGACTATATGATATAATGGAGAAGAGGTTAGGAGTATGGTTCCTTTAATGACTGTCACTCAAATTTTATTTTCAGAATGCCCACCGTAAACAAAATTTCAAAATGCAATAATTTTTGGAATATCTTTTAAATAATGAAGGGTGCTGTAAAAAAGATTTTTTAAAAGGGTCGTGTATTAAGTAAACAAAGGAGTGCAAAAAGTAACTTCCGTATTACTTTAGTATCGTTGCTTCAGGCTCTCTTTCTGTGTGTGTGTGATTTTTGGTCAACAATAATAGCCTTCTCGTTTCAGGTACATTGCTTTAATGTTGGGCTGTAGGTTTGGGCCTCTGCATTCCTTTGAGTTGATTTACATAGACTCTAATAAATAAAAATTTCTTGATAAAAAAAGAAATAGTAAAAATTTTGGAAAAAAACTGTTTTTACCACTTTTTATATTATATTTTGAATTAATTTTTTAAAGATACTGGTAAAAAATAAATAAAAAATATTTTTATTAAAAATTATGTTAGGATGTATAAAAAAATCATGTATTTATTATATATATATATATATATAAATAAATTTCTACTTATATATTTTTTAACTACAATCTGAAGCGCTAATTAGCATTTAGTTTTTTAATATTATGTTTTAGAAAATATTTAAATATTTTAAAAAGTACTTAAAAATAATAAACAAAGGTAAGATAACAAAATGGAAATGAATGAATAAGGAAAGTAGAAAAAGGTAGAAGGGGGAGGAGGTGTGGATGACTCTAGAAGACGTACTGAGGCGAGCACTGAGCAGCCCCAAAAGCTACCCTCAAATTGAATGCATTGTATAATAAAGAAAGAATAATTTGAGTAAAATGGCATTTCTGAGGTCAGTAGTAACAACTGCAACAGCTGTAGCTGCCATCCCTGCAGCTTTCGCCTTCTCTTCTCTTTCATCATCATCATCATCTTCTTCTTCTTTCCCTCGCTCTTCACAATCCCCCAATCCCTCTAACAGGTTGTGCCTTGTCAAAACATTTGCTACCCCTCCCTCTGCTATCCACATGGACACCAATCTCTCTTCTCAGGTTCCCCATTCTTTTCTCTCCATTTTCCTCTTTATTTTTCAATTACTATTTCATCTCTTGATTCTATTCTTTTTCCCTCGCAGCCCAACACTGTCTTGCCCGAGTTATTGGTCAGTTTAACCATCTTCTCTTCTTTCGTTATTTCTCTGCGACTATAAATCTTATTGGTTAATTTGATTTCAGACGGAATACATGGTGGATATGAAATGTGAAGGTTGTGTTAATGCGGTCAAAAATAAGTTGAACGAGATTAAAGGTAGGTGTAGCTCGCGTCATATACTTTACCAATTTATTTCTTCTACTTACAACGTCCATGGAATTGGATTTATTTGACTTCATTTCTGCAAATTAAATTGAATTAAATCAATTCACAAATCATTTGGTTTTAACGCGCCGTTGATTTCCATCTTGATGTAATTCTGGTCATCTTGCTTTTTTTTTTTCAGGAGTTAAGAACGTAGAGGTGGACTTGGGCAATCAGGTTGTAAGGATTCTTGGATCAACGCCGGTGAAGATTATGACTGAAGCTTTGGAGCAGACTGGTAGAAAAGCCCGATTAATTGGACAAGGAGTGCCTGAAGGTTTGCCGCTCAATTTCTTGCTGTCATGATTTTTGGTTGAAAATTTTTTAGCACTAATTCTTAATGACTATGAGTGTATCTATGAGTATGACCTTTTCTGTATTAATCATCTTGCACGTGAGATTATAAAATCTGCAAATTGAAGGGCAGGGGTTTACTCTTTTGTTTGTTTGTTTGGAATAATGGGTCTGATAATTATGAAGTGAGATATTAGTGTAGTTTATTTGGAGATTGTCTCGCAGCTGCACATCACCTTTTAAACCTATGAGTTTGTATGGTCGTTGAAACAGCTTATTTGCGACGGTAGTTAGTTTCTCTACATCCTTTATTGCTGTTACAGAGAGAGAAATAAGGTCCTTTTCTTTTTAATAGGCAATTCTTTAAGTGATTCCCATACTAATTTCTATGTGATTACTTTTTGTCCTGAAGATCAAGCACGGGCAGTTTCTCCAGTGTCAAGTTGGATGTTGATACATTTATAACCAAACAACAAATGGCTTACATTGTACCTACCATTAACATTGAAACCATTGCTCAAACCGTCTTCTCATTAAAACCCTAGGTTCCTCTTACATTTATCTTCACTTTTGTTGCAATTCCATAATATAATAAACAAAAACTCAAAATTAGAGCATCAGCTCTTAGAATCAATAATTTTTTAATAATTTGCCGGTAAGATTGAATTCCAAATATATTTGCCATATGATCCACAATTACAGAGATTCAATGACCTTGTTTATATATGTATATGTATATGTATATGCATTTCTGGTTGAAGATTGAGAATGATCTTATTATATGGGACACTGTCCCTTTTACATTCTTTTTCTAGCTTGTACCATTTTTTTTATTATTTGTCAGTTTCTTTTTATTTTACTGAAGCAGTAGAATATCTTATATAGGGTTTCGATTTCTTCTTATCATCAAGAGCTAGTAATGATAGAGCTAGAACAACACACCAATCAATTTCCAGTAGTCTTTCTTTTACTTTAGTGAAAAAGTTAACTAGATTGCTGTTTCTCCTCCCCTCATCTTTGATTGTATTATTTTCTTACACTTCGAAATTTATTCTTCCATGAAATATGAGCTATTGGGTGATTTTGTAACATGTGTCATCAATTTACCTGGAAGAATGAAGGAAACTGCTGGATTTTGACTCAGCTGGCAACATAGTCCGTTAGGCAAATAAGGTTGCAAACAACTATAGTTGTTTCTTTCCTTGAGCAAGATAATGTGGTAGTCAATTTTATGAATTCACTAAGTTTTGTCTGTTCATCTGTCATCACCTCACTATGTTTCTCACCAACTTGCCTGTATATTCTCTTTATCAACCCTAATATGGCATAAGCTTGTTTTTGCTTTGACTGCAGCTTAATGCTAGACGTTTTATCATTTCTTTTTTTCAAGAACAACTCTTGTTTAGTTGTCTGATGTCTCCCGATTTCCTCATTTGATCATCTTGCTATAGCATTGTTACACAATATGACAATTGTGTATAAGCATGTCTTTCCTTTGCTATCAACATTTCCTATATTCCTCAATTTCAGTTAATATGATTGTCACTTGTCAGCAATATGTTTTTCACTTCTGTTCATGTTTTCAGCTATTGTATCACCTCTGATGTAGTTAAATCTTCTTCTGCTTTGCAGACTTTTTAATATCTGCTGCTGTTTCTGAATTCAAAGGTCCAGATATTTTTGGTGTTGTTCGCCTGGCCCAAGTGAATATGGAATTGGCTAGGATCGAAGCCAGCTTCAGCGGGTTGTCGCCAGGAAAGCATGGTTGGTCTATTAATGAGTTTGGAGATCTGACTAGAGGTGCAGCAAGCACTGGCAAAACGTTCAATCCAATAAATGAGGAAAACAGTAAAGAGGTTTGCTTTTCCATGTACATTTTTTCTGAACAACAACTATTTTCCTGACATCGTGTAATCATATTTCCATTAAGGATTGATGACTGGTATATATATTATTACAAAACACTAGAACGGTTAGGATGATGAATTATTCTTTTGAAATCAGAAAAGTATGGATGCATCATGATGTCTAATAAAGTTTGTAAATATTTCTGTTGATTGAGGCCGCTGTTTTCCTCTAATGTGATGTTTGACATGGTATTACTGAAATTTTATTCGGCCACAAATCTAGTATAGTTTCATTAGGGGGTTGAGTAGGTAGGAGGACTCACAGACACATAAAATGCCTGAAATATTTTTCCTCAAGCTACAAATAACTTTTAAAACCTATCCTACCACTTGATGAATGCATTCCCTGCTCCCTTGCCTCTACTTGAGTAGTGTTAATTGTTGGCATACCTTTTATGATATAGTAAAGATGGCCATCACACAGTCACTTGCAGTCTTATGTCCTTGACCGTTGTTCTCTTACTGATAGAGTGATGGTAAATTTTAGAAATCCTGAGTATGTATTGTGCCAAATAATTTAGTAATTGATTCAATGTATAAATGAAATTCTTTGATTGGAAGTTCGAAAATAGGAACTGATATGGTTTGAAATGTTTGTTTTTTATTATTTCAGTTGTGTACAAATAAAAACTTATTGGCAATTATCAGTTTTAATTGATATGTTTTTCTTTGTTTTCAGTTTTTTTAATGAGAGGATTTTAGTTTTAATTGTTCCAGTTGACATTTTTTTCAGTTATTAGTTAATTCAATAAGGGTGATTAAGTTAGTATTATGAAGTCAGTATAATTTTTTGTTGTTTCAAACATGAAATTTGATTTTAAATTCAATTCAAATTCTATTTGTTATTATGAGTTCTAAACCTGAATTAAATTCCAAATCAAATCAAATTATTTCCATATTTTGATGATTTCAAACCCAACTTATTGAGGGTTGCTTGTGGCTTGACTGGATTTTCAGCCACTTGGCGACCTGGGAACACTGGATGCTAACGAAAAGGGTGAGGCATTGTACACTGGGGTCAAAGAAAAGCTGAGGGTGGCTGATCTTATCGGACGATCTGTGGTGATATATGCAACTGAGGATAAATCAAAACCCGGTATAGCTGCTGCTGTGGTTGCCAGAAGTGCGGGAGTGGGGGAGAACTATAAAAGACTCTGTACCTGCGATGGCACCACCATATGGGAGGCAAGTGATAGAGATTTTGTTACTAGCAAGGTCTGATGAAGAAGTTCCCTTTAAACAAAGCATTGTAATTTGGTTACCTTGTAACCCATCAGTACTTCATATTTTGAGGACTATACACCCTTTGGAAAGCAATTCACCAAGTCTGTCATTAACATTAAATTTCTTTTCTTTAGTTATAAACTTTTTGTGGTTAAGATGGTTGTTAATTTTGTAAGAACTCCTCCCCACTCACACACGTACAATAAGCCAAGGAATCATTAAATTTACGTAGTTTAATAAATTGTTAAAGAGTTTTATTAATTATTGCAGACAATTTACTAATATATTAATATATTTTTAAAAATGTACAATAGATTGAATCCATATTATTAGTGACGAAGAATATTAAGGGAACGAACGCCTTAGGGGGTTTAAAATACTTTTTTTTTGTTTAAATATTTGACCTAAGAATTTAAAAATATGCACATTACTTTTATTGGTGAAATTCCTCAACTCACAAGAAATGGGGTTGCAGCATCTCATTCTAAAGTTTGGCTTCTTAATGTTTGTTCAAGTTTAGCTAAATTCCGCTGTTATAATGGTTACGAGAAGAATATACCTTCTGAGTCGAGAAAAAATATGATACTTGCTATAGTAGTATAAGTACAGAATCTTAGAAATGTTTTATTGCCTAAAATTTGAGAAAATGTCATCAACTCGTTCTCTTGACCCCGTAATTCCATGAGCCATAGGACTGTCGGTATTTTACTTCGATAAAATCACGTTGATAGTATATCAAATCATGATTTTTATTCGAAACCGAATTTCAATCTTCACACAGAGAGACGCTCTGTATATCATCTTTTGAATAATATCAAACAAATACAAGCTTAAAGAGAATAAAGAACGAGGCTGTAACAAAGAATCTCGGTAAGGGACACTTGCAACTATCTTTCAAACATTAAATTCAGAAAGCAACTTCCAAAATTTTATTTTTGGAAGTTAGTAAAAGCTTTGAAATTTTATTTTCAAAAGATTAAAAAAAAGGTGTAGATTAGCACAAAAAGGGCGCAAAATGATAAGTAAAAGATTTGGAATTTTATTTTCGTAAGATAAAAAAAGTTGCAAAAAGTAACATCCATGAGACTTGATTCTTACACTTAGTACTAGACACACCTAATGGAATTTTCTCAAAAGAAAAATTTCTTCCTCTCAACTTTGTTTGTGAAGTAAAAACACGGTCCATAAAAAAATCAAATTTCAATAAATTTATTAAAAGTCTTCTATCTTCCTCTAACCAGTACCACAGGCCACAACAAGCTACAAAATTTATGCAGACAACGGAAGCAATAGCCCTTCTTTCGTAGCCATTTCTAACAGCGCAACAGCCACCAGAACCTTGCAATCTGCTGTACTGTGCCAAAGTTTATTATATGGTACTACACGCAACTTAATCAACTCCCCATGTTCCCTAAGGCCAGTCTCTTTACCCTGTAGCTGTGTGATTATCTCTTTATCAACACGCCCTTTGTACAGAAAGATACTGATTTCTTCGTCACACCCTCCCTTACCACAAAAGAGAAAAAGAAACGGGGAAAATAAGATGTCCATGTGATGAAGCAATAAGAAAGATCTCTGTCAGCTAAATGTACAAGAATATTAGTATTGAGATAATTTCAACAGTTTCTGAAGTAAAATCTAGTCGTCAATTAATTTGATTCAAAGTTTACTTAGGAATATACTATTTTCAGTTAACAGTGGTACAAGTCTCATCTGCACAATAATTACTTCTTAGATTAGCTTCAAATTAACAGAAGTTGAGTTACATGCTCATTGATTATTAAATGAAACATCTCATCTAAACATAAAACAACAGTGACGTGCACTAAACTACACTGGTTGAAATAATAGGGTTTTAAGTATCCAATAGAGATTAGAGACTGCATACTATTATTAATGAAAAGCATTACAATGCATTAATGTGTGTATGAAACGTAGAATATTAATCCTGATTTATGTTAATCATAATATTTAGTTGTTAGGGAAACAAATCACATGGGATAAGGAAACATAGAACCAATCTTGACATATAATGAGGAAATAGAAAAACTCATCCTAAAGGTTAATTTCAGATACTATAAGATATGAATCATATGATGAGATATTATCTTATATACTAACAATATTCATAATTTCATATTACCATACTGAATTATTGCAAATTTTACAAAACATACGACATGAAACCAAAAGTTTTTTATTTGACAAAATGGCTAACTTCTTTGCGAAGCACAGATTATGAAACTTGAAAAAGCAAAAAGAACAATGAGATCCTCTTGCAAAAGGCTAAAAACTTACAGGAGAGGGGATAACTCTGGATCCAGTTGTGGAGTCGAGGAAAGCAGTTAGGTCAACCATGTCTTCTATGTTTAACTTGATGCCAGTCTCTTCTTCAACCTATCAAAGTCATAAATACACGAAATCATACATAGTGTGGATAAGTTAGTTACATCACTAGGGAAGACAAATAAAAAAAATGTCTGACATGCAAGTGAAAAGGCCATAAAACATGCACTTTCAGTATAACTAGGGCGGGTGAGAGGCCAATAAGAAATAGACCTCGCGAACTGCAGTGCCAACAAAATCACCCTTGTCATCATCCAACATTCCAGCTGGCAATTCCAAAATAATTCTTCCAACAGGAACCCTTGCCTGATAAATAAGAATATCCAACATAAAAATAGGGATAACAATAAACTACAGTTATAATTGCTCAAAAAAGACACAGCAAGGTAACAACCGCCATCTACCTGTTCAGTAAGAACAGCATATGTCTCACCCTCTGATTCCAGAAGTATCAACACGGCCACAGCTGGTCCTCTTGCAAATACGATACCTGGAACCTAATCATGGTTTACTTTACTATAAAAGAAAGAAATCAGCATTAGGTGGAATCCAACCATCTTGGATTCCAAAGAAAGATGTTTTTTGTTTGATACCAGGCTACGAGATTACCATGGGCAGTCAGACATGCCAGAGAAAGAGAATATGAACATATTGTTATAAAAACATGGGAATCCTAAATACTTATGCATCTTATATCCAAGATACCTTGAAATTTAAGATAACTATAAAACAAATGCATCCTATGCTTTATTTCCAGCATGTAGAATCAACTGTTTAGACATCGCCATACAACAAATGAAAAAAATGGAACCAAAGCATCTGTCTGATGCCAATGTTTAATAGTATTTAGAGAAAAGGACAATACAATAAGCATACTGATTCATATAGCTCATTGCCATAATTAACACATTAAAAAGCTTTTGTACAAATCATCTGATACCTTTTTCCCAGTTTGTTTGTCAAAAATGTCAGCTTTGAACTTGAGAAACCCAATGCGCTTTCCAAACATGTCTACTCCCTGTTTATACCAAAAAAATTCCACCAAATTTATGTTTATTTCTCGGGAAGCATAAATAAACCAAGGATATAAATCAAATATCATTTTACTTCAAATGACAAGTAACAATTTCTTATACGATAAAAAACAACATTGTTTTGGGATAGTTTACTAAACAAAGACCCAACATGATCAAAATCAGATTGAGCTCAATAGGATCCAACACATCTCCTTAATTGATCCATGATAGACATCCGTAGATTTTGGAAACTTGTCTCCAAAGGGGAAGCTACCACCATTTCACAGCCTTATCAGACCAAGGAGGAAGACTACTAGTTGGATACTACAACTTCTGTATAAAAGCATGGCTAGGAATCCAGGTAGGATCACTTGAGCATATATTCTTCCTCATTCCCCAAACCTTTGCAAATTTGAGTGTCAAAGTGTCATGCAAATTCCGTACATCACCCCCCTCCTCCATTGCTTCCAGACATCACCACTGTGAAGGAGACATTCAGCATTCAGCTGCCACAGGTGAGATCACCACCATTCACCCATACTCAAAATCTCAGATCAGATATTCTTCTTGATAGTCTACAAATGCTTTATAACTACATTTTTTGCAATGGCAGTCTTCTATGGATTACAGTCTTAGTTTAGTCCTTACATCAAACAGTGAAGCAAACATATATGTTGGCAACATCAAATAATTTTCTTGCCATATATTCTAAACTTTCGGATATGGAATGCAGAGAAAACCTCTTTCTTCGACAGAATGTCTTTCATCAATCTTGTTAGCTGAATTCTTTGATTACCTGAATTAGAACTTGTCTCAGAGCCATGGTACCATCGGATAGAACCCCATTTTCAGTTTGCAAGTTATGCAACCACTGCTTGAATAAAGAGGATTCAATAGCACTCCTGGAAGCGGAAATATCAAAAACCAAACCAAAAAGGACCACAGCTACAAGATATTAGTCATAGAAAATCAACGAAAATCTAGCACCTAACTGAATAGAACTTCTACTTCTTTATAATTTGATTCAGATTAAAACCAAGTGAATTACATCAACGCTTTGCTCGTATCACTATAAAATAATTTTGGCTAATTAAAATTGAAACATTCCAGTTTATAGTTTGAATCAACACAAAACAGACTGCATTTGAAATTTTTATTAAAAAAGGAACATGATTTTACCAAAAGTTTTGCTTAACGATTATGCCAGCATCATAATAAAAAGTTTTCCTGCCAAAAAAATCTAGTAGAAAAAGAGAAAATGTAATATAACAGACCAGAAATCAGAACGGGAAACCCCGGGTGCAGCAACAATATGAACAGGTTCGTTCTGTTTATTCGGCAGCGTGATACAGTGAGACAAGGGAGGTGATTCGGTCGACATCTTGCAGCAGAAACCACTCTTCCTCAAAGGCCAAATGGGGGAATGAAACGGAGTGAACCTTTTCAGCGCAACAGAAACTGCGCGAAAATTCACGGCCATTGAAGCTACGCTTCAGCTTCAGCAAGAAGATGAATCGCTTTATCTTCTGTACACGTGTCCATGGATCCTATTGGGCCTTCATTCATTTAAACTTTATCTCTTTTGGGCTTTATTAATTTCTGGCCCAAATTTGAATATGGTTGTTTTTAAGACAAAAAAATAAAATAAAATCCTCGCAGTTTACTACCAATCAAAATAACTTCCAATGCACGAGATACGATGGAGGTGAGAAGAATGGAATGTCAACTTCTCCAAGTACCGGATATGCTATAAGGGGACTTTCAGCTAAAGATTTTATACAGATTATTCATTAAAAAATGTAAAAAATAAATAAATTCTTAATTTAAAGTGTTTTTAATTACGTGACAAATAGCTTTATTTTTTTAAAAAAATTAATTCTCTATTACAAGCAATGCCATGTGTCAAAATAATAGCAACAATTATTATCTTTATATTTTTAAGTTTATTATCGCCTATAATTTATGTAATTTAATTTAATTTTTATTAAAAGAGAAAAGGACAAGTGTGTAAAACAGAATTAAATGATAAAATATTTAGTAAATTAATCATCTCAATGTGAGTCATATATATACAAAATGAGATCCTCTTAGATAAGCATTAACAAGGACAAAACAAATAAAAGAATAAAACAATATTGATATAATATATAGTTAATACTATTTAGAAGCTACTAATATTTACAACAAATATAATAGAAAAGATGTTAAGAATATGCTGAAGGTTGAGGAATGGATTAGGCCAAAAAAGCATTGAGCTTCTTTTGTTTTACCCCTTCACAAGTGGGTGGTGTGTGAATGTCAAGCAACTCCAACTTGAATAAATTAATAGTAAATAGGCGAGGAGGAAGGGCTTTTGTAAACATGTCTGCAAGTTAGTTGGAGGAAGAAATGCATAAGTCCTGATTGAGCTTTCTCACAGATGATAATCAATTTCTTGATGCTTGGTCATGAAAAACTGGATTAACAGCAATATGGAGTACGCTTTGATTATCACAATATAGGACATGTTGCTTTGAACAGGAAATCCGTAGATCAGATAGCAAATAAATGAGCCATTGTAAATCGCATGTGGTGGAAATAAGTGCCCTATACTCAACTTCGGAAGAAGATATGGACACCGTGTTTTGTTTCTTGGTTTTTCAAGAAACTAAAGAATTGCTAATGAAGATGCAATATCCCGTAACTGATCAACGAGAATCAACGCAGGTAGCCCAATCTGCATCGCTGAAACCCAGAACATGAACTAGAGAATCATGCCTAAACATAAGGCCTTTGCTAGGACAACCTTTAAGATATTTAAGAACCCGCATGGCAGCCTAAAAGTGAACTTGAGTTGGGTTAGCCATAAATTGGCTTAGTTGCTGGACTGAAAAATCGATGTTTGGACGCGTGCTTGTAAGACATAACAATCGACCAATCAAACGTATGTAAGAGAGGGATCAGACAATGGTGGACTAGAATCTTTATGAAGACGAAGTGAGCAATCCATTGGATTAGTAGATGCTTTACACCTCAACATGCCAGAATCAGATAACAAATCCAAGCAATACTTTTGTTGACAAAGAGAAATTCCAATATCTGATATATTAACTTCTATACCCAATAAATACTTAAGAGGCCCTAAATCCTTGATGTGAAAATTAGAATTTAGAACCTGCTTAACAACATCAATTTCACGCAAACAATTACCAGCCAAGACTATATCATCAACATACACTATCAAAGCTGTGAAATTAATTCTATGGCTTTTAATAAAAAGGTTATAATCCGCCTGGGCCTGCTGATATCCACAAGACAAAAGAAGAAGAGAAAGTTTCTCATACCAACGACAACTCGCTTGCTTCAGTCTATATAAAGATTTGCAAAGTTTGCAGCAATGTGAACTAGAATAACCATGAATTTCAAGAGGGATAGTCATGTAAACATCTTCTGTTAAATTTTCGTGCAATACCCTCAATTTGAGAAAACCTTTTGGCAACAAGTTGCGCTTTGTAACGCTCAACGCTACCATCAACTTTGCGCTTGATCTTGTAAACTCACTCGCATCCTATGGGTTTAACATGAGGAGGAGTGACAATAATGTCCCAAGTCTAATTTAAATTCAGTGCATCAGTTTCAGCTTTCATTGTCTCAATCCAACAGGAGTTTTGAATAGCCTATTTGTAAGTAGAAGGTTCAATCTCAGAGAAAAGGGACATGAAAAATTTGTGATTAGAAGGAGATAACTGAGAATACGAAATAAACTTTTGAATGGAATGTACACACCTTGAGGATGATTGTTCTAACAAAGTACTGAAGGTGTTGCAGACAAAGTCTCGAAGATGAGTGAACGACTGAGGGATGCAATTTGAACAACGTGGTTGAGGAGGAGATGGTGTGGGGGAACATGGGAGGTTGTGGGAGAGTTGGGTAAGGATAGGGATGACAATGATGAGTTGGGATGAGTGGTGGATGGTAATGGGTTAGGTGAGGGCAGAGAGGATGACGTGTTCAGTGTGCGAGGATTGAGATGTGATGTGGGAGGATGATGATGTGTGTGTGGGCAAAGAAAAAGGTAAAAAATCTATGAAAATGAGGTCTGCATGAAGGTAAGTGTTTTTGGGAAAAAGGTATAGTGGTTTTGAAGGAAGAGGTGGGGTGGTGTTAGGAGTGAGGAAATTGGGCTTTCGGAAAGAAAGGATGGTCTCACAAAATATGACATTTCTTTACAAGAAAATTTCTTTAGAATATAAATCCAAAATAATATACCCTTTTGTCCCATTTTGAAAACCTAGAAAAACACTACGTCTAGAGCATGGATCAAACTTTTTTGCGAGGATGATGGGTGGAAGCATAGCAAAGAGATCTAAAAATCTTGATAATGGAAAAATCAGATTTTTGATTAAATAATAATTTAAAAGGTGTTTTATTTTTATAACTAGTAAAGGAACTTGATTTATCAGAAAAACAACATGTTTAATTGCATAGGACCAAAAATTATTTGGATATTCAAATTGAAACATAAGAGCACGGACAACATTAAGAATGTGTAGGCATTTACATTCAACCCTACCATTTTGTTGAGGTGTGTAAGGACAACTTGTTTGGTGAATAATACCTTTAGAATAGGGATGACAAAAATACTTGAATCAGTGGATACCAGCGAGTATTACCTTTTGCAGGGCGAATTTGGGTGTTGATTCAGGTACCTGCGAATGTGTTAAATGGACTTTTCTAAAACTCATGAATAAACAGGGGTGGGGGCAGGTTTTGCACTACTTGTACCCGCCTTATACTATGAATTACCTTTATAACCCTATATATATAAAACTTAACCTAAACCTAAGAGTCAATTCCTTTTCTCCCATCTCTCTCTGGCAACTTCATCCCCTCACACTAGTTTTGTTTCTTGAATTTTTTTCTCTCAGATCCTCACACGATTTCTCTCTTTGGTGGCGGACTGACCGCAATGCTCCTCCTCCCACCCTCCTCACACCACTATTATGTGTGCAACTTTAGTAACTAGTAGCTATTTCTCTATGATATAGATATGCTTTAGTAAGGAAAAAAAAAAACTACGTAAATTATATAGATTTGTTCGCTAATTATGATTATGTAGATAACTAAACATGCTTCAGTAAGGCAAAAAAAAATAAAATTTGCTATGATGGTGATCAAACTTTCATATGCTTACAAATACACCAGATGCATTGTACATTATATTTGATATAATTATGATTATGTTCACTATTCTGATTCAACCTATCCAAGTCATTGCTCACTGGTATTGATCCTTGTCTTATGGCTATTTGATTTTTAATTCTCACTCTTAATTTTGTTTTTTTTCCTTGTATAGAATGACTGATAAAGAAGTGCTTCCTACTTAACAAGTTAATGAGCAAAATGTGGAGGAATCACATGATGTTTCTACGAATCAAGAAGTTAATTGGACTCCTCCTGAAACTCAAAGCTCTCTTCCTACGGAAAGTTCTCTTCCAACTAAAATTTGTCCTCCAACTAATAAAAGGAAACTCACTTCAGATGTTTGGAACCATTTTAAGAGGCAAAACATTAATGAAAAATTGAAGGCAATTTGCAATTATTGTGGAAGAAAGTTGTTAGGTGATACAAAACAAGGAACTTCTCATTTGAAAAGTCACTTCAAGATTTGCCTACTTAAAACAACTCGAGATATAAGGCAAGCATTTTTGAAAATCGAAAAAAGGGGATGATACGATTATGGTTGGTTCTTATGCATTTAATCAAGACACAACAATGAGAAAACTTGCTAAGATGATAATACTTCATGAGTATCCCCTCTCTATTATTGATCATGTTAGATTTAAAAGTTTTTGTGCTTCTTTGTAACTGTTGTTTAAGGTTGTTAGTCGTAACACAATCAAGAGTGACATCATGAAACTTTATGGGGTTGAGAAGGACATGACAATGAAGAAACTTGCCAAGAATCAAAGTCAGATTGCTATTACCATAGATATATGGACTGCAGGCAACAAAATAAGGGTTATATGGCTGTCACGGCTCATTATATCGATGATTCTTGGACCCTTCAAAATTAGCTAATTAGATAATATCTAATTTTAATGCCATTGATTATCCCATATGTCGATGATTAATATTTATGTTTTTCTTTTTAAATCCCTATTTAAAATTTTAGGTTTGTCGATGTTCCTGCATCTTATACCAGTGAAGTACTTGCTGAAACATTACATGAATGCTTGTTGGATTAGAATATAGATAGGAAGATGTGCACTTTGATAGTTAATAATTGCTCAACAAATAATGCTATGATTGCTTGCATTTTAGAAAAGGTTTCTCGTAAGTTTCTTATTTTGGGTGGTCAGTTATTACACGTTATGTTGTGCTCACATACTAAACTTAATTGTTAAGCATAAGTTGTCTATAATTTTTGATTCTATTGAAAAAGTTAGAGATAATGTTAACTTTTAGACATCAACACCTAAAAGAGAAGAGAAGTTCAAAAAGATAA